CCAGGTGGTAAATTGACAAACCATGAAAAAGTTGTCATAGTAAGAGACAAACCAAATAGTTGTAGTTTATAAAAAGGATTATTACCGATTTCTCCTAATTGCGCCGTGAAACGACCCACATGTTCTATGGTGGAGGATCCATCTTCTGCTGAGAAAGCATGAAAGTCGGGTGGTCGATAATTCCTTGGGAGAGGATAATCGTTAATGATCCTTTCTGAAAAAGGTCTTTGATAGGCGGGGCGGTTGGCCACATGGGGATTCAAGCCGAAATGAACCCTCAAAACATGCGCAATTTCTTCAGGATCCAAACGAGGATGTTGATGATCAGGGATATGAATGGGATCATGCATATGTCCTCCTTGCCTATCTTCCCTTACGATGTTCGGCTGAACGTTATCAACTCATGGTCCCAAAGGAACACTATTAGGGAAAGTTAAAGGAGTCTTCCCCATATATGTTCAGTTGATAGTTGTGGCGCTAGGAACTGTACTATCAACATATGACGACCATACAAATGTTGATCCTGGAAAAGTTGCCTGAAAGCGAGACGGTGACAAGGCTGGAGGCGTGTTTGAATGTAATGAGACTTTGGACAACGCCTGATCCAACATGTTCTGCATTAAATTATGTTGATCGTGCAGCATCGTTCGTATGGTAGTCATCTGTTGATTGTTCAATTGCTGAACATAAGTCAACCATTCAGGTTGCATTTGAGATGTCCCTCCTGAAGTAGGAACAACTGTGGTTGGATTTGAAGTCGTTGCAGAAACTCCGACACCGGTGGTGTTGTTCTAAAATTGAGTGTCTGCCATAGTATTTCTACTAATAATTCGTCCAGAACGCAAACGTATGAAGTTGTTGTTGGAAGTAGGATTAGCTATCTTGCTTTCACTCCCACTGTGGTCACCAATTTGTTGTTTGATTTTTTCAACAAAACAAAGTAAAATTCGAAAATATTATCGAACTTGAAATGAAAAATTTATTTGTAGCATAAAGCAGTGAATGTATGAAAATAAAATGTGACCCTCAAAAGGAAATTTGCGACTAATTTTGCTTTTTTTGAATATCCTCTCCTAGAAAGGACCTGAATCTTTAAATATTTTCTAAGAAAACGTTTTAAAACATCGTCTGGTCAGTTACAGCAACTGCCGTCAACCGCCCCCACATATTACTCCTCCACTGACACGTGTCTTAACCGTCTCACAAACTGCTCCCGCTAGTTCCAGAAGCTAACTGGCTCAGCCAACCGCCTCTGAACACCTTATCTCTTCAAATGGGTGGCTGGTCCAACCGACCACTTAGCCATCGATTCTCCTGCCTAAAATAACCCTTGGCTCATTGGACGGACGGCAGACCAACCGACTACCTTGAGAAAACCCGTAACCACCTGATGGGCCCAAAGACGGGCCCGCCTCTCCTCTTATTTTGTTTACCCTTATTATAAATTCCATACTCAACAATTTCTTTATCGATGATAGATATAGAAATAAAAATGTTTTGAATGACCCCGGTAAGAAGTTAAAATTTTAGTTAAACTGATTTATATTTGTTAAATATATTTAAAATGAATGAATTTATTAAAAATAAAAAATATATATATGTTATGAGAAGAACAAAAAAAAGGATATGTAGCAGGACAAATGGAATAATTATTTATTTATTTTAGATGATTAAAATCCACAATGATTTAAGGCATTTAATAATAGCTATATTTAGGATTATTAATCCTTCCTAAATAACTAGTATCAAATTATCTTAAATATTTGTTTATATTAAAAATCTATTTTACGCTTTATTAATAGCTAATCTAAAAATAATTATTGTGTAAATTAATATATTTTAGGTATAAATCACAATTATATCTACCAACATTTTATATTATGATTATATAACCAATTCAAAAATCATTTAAATTATAATTCTTCCATACAACCAAAAATCATGTAAATTATATCTACCTACATTTTATCTTATTTGATCGTCCTTATAAATATATATATTGTTAGAAAATTTCGGAGAAATTAAAGAGATTGTTTTATTGATCATTAAAATAAGGAATATATATAAGTAATACAAAACAGACTCGATATATTCAAATCTAATTAATTTAATATATGAATAAGATCAAATTTAAATTTAAATATATTAAATTTAAGAGTGAATATCTAAAATATCATATATATATATATTTATATTTATATATCAAAATTTTATAAATAACACTCTTATAATGCATCATATTTACATAAACATTCTAAGAGTAAGAACAAAAACAACTCATGGTTAATGATATACACTCTCCGTTCCATAACTAAGTATTCATTTATTTTTTGTATGTTGATCTTTAAATATTAATTATTATATCAAAACGTATTACAAATAAAGGAAAAATTGCAAAAATATTTCTATTAGTGTCTTATAATACTAATATAATGACATTTGTATACAAAATTATACAAATATAAAAATATTTTTAACGTTAAGTACAATGAATACCTTGTTATGAGAACGGAGTGAGTATTTGTTTTCCTATTCATCACAATTACTTTTTTATATATAATATTATTATTTTTAAAATCCATGGATATAAAATGGAGGTAATATAAATTTATATATATATATATACATACACAACTATATTCTTTTTGTATTTTAAATATTTTGGCTTTTTTTTAAATTTTTAAATGAATGTTTGCTTGTTTAGTATTTTGATATTTGAAGAATCTTTTGATATAAATTATATAAAATTGTGTTGGTGATATAAAAAATAGTATTTTATATTAAATATTAATTTTTATGAGAGGATAAAATATACATTATGAATCGTGTTGAAAAGAAAAGTCTGGGCAAACAAACTCTTTGTCTCACTCAACGATCGATATTGACTATAAGTACCAAAGCTTTATTATTTTATAATTTTAAATTTAAATCAATATTATTTACTTTATTTTCAATAAAAGAAATATATATATATTATTTATTTATAAAAAATACATCAAAATACTATTTAAATAAAAATTTAAATCAATATCTAATTTTAAATGAGAACGAAACAAACCTCAAATTTTATAATATTTATATTTGGTCAATTTTGATCCTTCCAATTTATGAATGAATCCCCTAATATTTTATTCCATATTGCCGTTTTTTAATGTTTGAATTTGGATTTGTTAATTGTAAAGATTTTAATTAATGATATATAATACTTCATCTATTATTGGAAAAATATATTTACTCCGTCCATAGAAAGTATGATTATTTTATTTGTAATTTACAAAGAAAGTAAGTAATTTTTTTTTGAAAAATTGAATATATATTTATTTTTATGCAAGTGTTAATATGGTGAGTGATTTTTTACTTTATGGAGTATTTTTTATAATAAAGAAAAATCTAAAAAATAATAGTATAAAAGTAAAAAAAATGTACTCTCGTCATCCCAACTCAAAGTACTCTTTTTACCATTTTCGCTAATATCATTTCAAAGTATATATTTTATATTTTAGTAAAAGTAATCGTAAAATATTTTATATTTTAGGATGTGTTTTGTTGAGTTTGTGTAAGATTTTCTTTTCTTTTTTTTTTTATTTCTTTAAAAATATTACATCAAACATTTAATTTTATATTATTTTAAAAAATAATTTTTATATTCAAAATATTATATTAAAATTTATTTATATCATATATCGAGTAATTATTTAAATTAAAATTTTTTTAGACAAAAATCTACCTTATATGTCATACTCAATGCAAAGATTTTTTAAAAATGAATGATACAAAGCATATTTCAAAATATTATACTCAATGAGTATTAGGTACGTTTCTTTAGCAATTTTTTTTTTAAGTTTTACTATTTGGACGCTGTGTTTTTAAAAAGAAAATATATTTTTTCTTTCACAAAATATTTCATCAAAATACTATTTTCATATCAAACTCAAACTAAATTTTTTTCAAACTCATCAAAAGAAATACACCCTAAATTTTTATTTTTAGTTTTTTTTTTAATTTTATTTTCTACCATTTAATATTTATTCATGATATTTTGAAATTATATATTCCATCCGTCCTTTTTGAACGTGGCTCTTTAAGATGTTGTAATAAATTAAAAAATAATAGTATTTTATTAGTTAGTGGAAGAGTGTAAAATATTTTGATATTTTTATTTTTGATTTTTTATATAAAGTAATTGTATGTATAATAATATATTTGTAATTCAAGTACAAATTAAAAGTATTTTAGTATAAATTTATATTGACTTTTTAATAAAAAAAATTCAAAATTTCAAATTCAATCCAACTTAAAATAGATATATATATATATATATATTTATACCAAATAATTCTCACTCTATCTTCGAACCAATTTCTCTCAAAATGTAAAGTTATCCCATTGCTTCTTTTGTTTTTTTTTCTCAAAATGCTAAAGTTTCATACCATTTTTTTAACGAAAGTCGTACCATTGTTTTTTTTTTTTATTTTTTATTTATTTCTCTATGGATCAAAGTCAAATACACCAAGAAATACATACATACATACAAATCTTTTCCGGGTGTGTTTGTTTGGGGGGTTTGGAATTTTGATTGAGATTTGAATAGTTAAAAAATTTAATTTATATAATTGTATAATGTGATATAAATAGGTGTTGATGTGATATTTTGAATGTAAAATTAATTTTTAGTATAATATAAAAAATAAAAAATAAATATTTGATTTAATATTTTAAAAAAAAAAATTAAATAAATAATATATTTAAAATTCAAGCCCCAAAACAAACATATATCCGACGACACTCACCAGTTATGGCGCATTAAAACGATCCCACTCGTAATCTTTTTTTTTTTTTCCCTCTCTCACACCTCAAAATAAAGCAACTCTCCTGCACTTTCCTGCTCAACATTTTCTTTTATTTATTTATTTTTTATTTTTTATTTTTTTTTTAAAAAAAAAAGCCCACAAAGAAAATCCTTCCCTTTACTTTTCTTGGCCCCCCAAACCCTTCAAAACACTCCCATGGCTTCTTTTACTCATCAATTAAATACCCTCAACACAAACTGCAAAAATATTCTCCCCAAATTCCACATTAATTTGCCCTAAATTGAATTTAGGGTTCTTGATGTGACAAAAAAAAAATAAATAAATAACATGAGTGGAAATATTAGCAATAGCAATTCTTCTGTTTCTGCAAATTCCTCAGCAGCTACAAAATTCATCAAATGTGTGACTGTTGGTGATGGTGCTGTTGGCAAAACTTGCCTTCTCATCTCTTACACCAGCAATACTTTCCCCAGTGTATGTATTTTTCTTTCTTTCTTTCTTGATTTTTGATTTTTTTTTTAATTTTTTTTATTTTTAATATTGGGGTTGTGTTTAGTTTATGGGTTTTTTTTTTTTTTCTTTTTTTGAAATGGGTTTTGTGTTTCAGGATTATGTTCCTACAGTGTTTGATAATTTCAGTGCCAATGTTAGTGTTGATGGGCAGACAGTGAATCTTGGCTTGTGGGATACTGCTGGTATGTATGTAATGATCATCCAATTTTTTATGTTTTTTTTTTTGGCTAATCTTATGTAGGACTGTCTGTTTGATGATATATTTTGATTCATGTTTTGAATTTAGTGATTCTCATCAATGTTGTTGATGGATTTGGTCACAATTTGCACAAACTGAGTGTGTTTTGTTTAGTATTTATAGTTTAAGATGTTTTTGTTTTGAGGGGCAGAAAATGTGGTTTTGTTTGTTTTTGTTTATTTATATGTATATATTGTTTTTTTTTTATTAATATTTTCCAAAAATATGTACGACTAAAATATTAAAATATTAAGTGAACAAATTCAAATTTTCAGGTCAAGAAGATTATAACAGGCTAAGGCCATTGAGTTACCGGGGAGCCGATGTCTTCCTTCTTGCATTCTCCCTAATTAGTAGGCCGAGCTTCGAGAACATTTCCAAAAAAGTAAGTCTCTTTCTTTAAATTAATTTTTTCAAATTTTATTATTTGAACTCTGTATTTCCCTAAAAAAATACGCTTTTTTATTTCATAAAATATCACATCAAACATCATTTTAATACCAAACTCAAACAAAATTTTTTCAAATTCAACCAAAAGAACATTAATATTATGTATTCAATTTTATTTTATTTTTTATTATTTAATAAAATATGGGTGTCAATTCGTGTTTTCAGATTGTATTCATGTCAATTGAGCCATTGAGTGTAACAAAAAATGTCAATTTGAACCCCAAATTTGATCCGAAACTCTAAATCTGAACACGCCACAAATTTTTTGGGTCAGATTTATATAAACCTGATTTAGTTTCAAGTTATCCAAAATCCAATCAAATCGGACTCGAAACAGGCTTGAAAACTTAAAAGAGTCAATTTTACCTAAACAAAATCCATTTTAATTTAATTTTTATATTATTTATATTTAATATAATATAAATAGTATAAATTAAAATAATAATAATAAATAATTTCACATCAACTCGAAACCCGAAACTTTAAACCCGATATTATTTTTATATTTCGGATTATCTGGTTAACCCAAAATTCGATCCGAACACGACACAATATTTTTTTGGTTTTGAGTTCGACTCGACCCAATTTTTCGCAAACTCAGAAACATTAAAACTCGAGCTAGAAAAATTTCAAAACATATTCGATTTTCCAGGTCGGATTTAATTTTCCAAACTATTACCTAAAGAAATGTAGTACTATTTCTTTTCAATTCACTAATGATCTTTGGAGGAACCATTCGAAAGTGGTGGTTACTAATCCGTCTATCTTTGTGTGTTCGAATATATACATATAAATATTTTGGCTACTTTTCCTTTGATTTTGCGACGCTGCCGGAGCAGTGGGTCCCGGAACTGCGACATTATGCGCCCTCGGTGCCCATTGTTCTTGTGGGGACAAAACACGGTGAGCCTCTCTTCCTTCGTCCCACACGAATGATTTGTTTGTTTGTTGCATTTTTAAAAACTAAGTATAACTTTTTAATCTTTTGTTGCATATATTAACATGTTGCTCACTTTGCTTTCCCCTAAAGTTTGCTCCTTTTTGTATGTTCTTGATGGGCTCCCCATACATTTTTGTTTTGGGGTTTGGATTTTGAGTTGACATTTGAATAGTAAAAATTTTTGAATTTGAATAGTTGTATGACGTGATATAAATAGGTATTGATGTAATGTTTTGAATATAAAATTGATTTTTAATATAATATAAAAATAAAAAATAGATGTTTGATTTGACAGTTTTTTGGTGAAAAAAATAGGATGAATAGTGGATTGGAAATCCAATCCCCCAAACAAACACACCCTTAAAGCCTTTTGCTTTTCTACTTACGTCATGATGAGGAAACATTCTTACACATATATAACTGAAGTTGGCGCTTTGAGCTAATCCTTCCGTTCCATATATTTTGCTATTGATAATGCTAAATTAACAAAGTTACTAAAATACCCTTTTCAATGTAGGTTGATGTGGGCCTTTATAATCTAATGATATTTTAGTTTTTACCCATTTAAACATTATTTACCAAATGCTTTATATCCCAGAACTATAGTATTAATTGGATTGGATACGAGATTTAAAAAATATTGATATTATATTGGTAGTCGATAAAAATTATAGATAAAAGACTTTTTTGCTCTTGTGAATATATTAGTGTAAAAAGTAGTGACAATTATGTAATAAAAATGAAAAAGTAGGGATAGTTTTATGGTGATATGGTTATTTATGGAAATAAGACTATTGTTTTGGGATGGACACAAATAGTAAATAAGACTATTGTATTGAGAGAAAGAGAGTATAAAATATTAGTCTTTTCGTTCCAATTAAAAATATTACTTTTATTATTTTCGTTTGTAAAATTGAAAATTATTTATTTTTTATTATAATATATAATCACATACTAATATTAAAATATTTTTTAATTTTTACATAAATTAAAAATATATCATTATACATATTCATAAGGTAAAAAGGACAAAAATGTTAAAATCATCTCACACTTTCACTATCCAATAAGATACTTCTCACTTTGTCTGGAAAATTTAATCCCACTTCTATGTAAAAATAAAATAAAATAAAAAAAAAAGACTAATTTTTTTGGACGGAGAGGTTATTATTTTTTACTTTATTTAAAAAAAAAAAAATAGAATGAATACATTAGTCTGCTATAGAGAGATTAGTAATTAATCAACATTAAAATAAGAAATGTATCTATACTTATTGATTGAGCTTAATAATATTACATTGCAGATCTAAGGGAGGACAAGCAGTTCAAAAAGAATTATCCGGGGGCGTGCACTATTTCCACGGATCAGGTACATATATATATATATAGCTTATACTCCACTCGTTTCAATACAATAGTCTTGTTTACCATTTTTGTCCGTTTCAAAACAATAGTCTTATTTTCATAAATAACTATATCGCTATAAAACTACTTCTACTTTTTCATTTTTATTACACAATTGCCATTACTTTTTACACTACTACACTCACAAAAGCAAAAAAGTTTTTTATTCATACTTTTTACCAACTATCAATATAATATTAATATTCCTTAAATCACGTGTCCAACCCAATTAAGACTATATTTATAGGACGGAAAGAGTATTTCACTTTTGATAGCTCTAATGGTTAATTCAAATAATATTTACTTCAAAGAAAAAAAACTAAAATGCTAAAAAAATGTAACTTACACTAGGGGTGGTAAACCGGACCGGCTTGGTTTTTGTGCCTGCCCGGTCCGACCCAACAATGTCATGGACTAGACAGGCACGGCCTGGTTTCAATCCGGGCTTAAAAAGCTTGGCCAAATTTTAAATCGGGTTGTTCCGGGCCTGTTTGGCTCATTAATTTTTTAATTTTTTTCAAGTTTTTTAGTTTTATTTTTTTTTTTTATTTTAAAATGATTTAATAAAATTTTATATGTTAAGTGTAAGAATTAAATTCATGATCTTATACTTACACTAATTAAACCATTGCACTACACTTTCATTTTAACATAAATTCATTTGTTAATATATTGATAAAATTATTTTTTAAAATTATATTTAATTTAAAATCGGGCCGAGCCAAGCACAGTTCAATCTTGATGGGCCTAGGTACAGCCCGGTTCATACTTGTGCCAAGTTCGAATCAGATATCAGATTGTACCTATTTTTGGCGGCTCTTGCTTACACTACCAAAAATACATTTTATTTTTTTCCTTAGTTAAAATTTTTGGATCATAGTTCAGTTTCTTGTAGGACTAAAAATGCTACAAGATACAAATGCATATGATTGTTTCGTTTGTGTTTTGATTTGAATTTGAATTTAAATATTATACGATGTTACATTACACTTTCACTTAAAATTATGCAAATTGAATAGTAAAATAGCGGGTTTGAAACCCAAATCGAACAAACCTTCGATTTTGATTCTTTATTATTTGAAGGGCGAAGAGCTGAAAAAGCAAATCGGCGCAGTGGCATACGTCGAGTGCAGCGCCAAGACGCAGCAGGTTTTGTCTCGACGACATGGCCGGCTTGCTCTTTTCTTACATACACAACAACGTAACATGTACGAGGTTTTTCTTGGTGATGCAGAATGTAAAGGCAGTGTTCGATGCAGCGATAAAGGTTGTTCTCCGGCCGCCGAAGACTAAGAAGCAGAGGATAAGATACAGCTCGTGCAAGCTTCTGTAAGAAAAAAATGCAGCATCAATGGTGATATATATATATATATATTTATATATGTATGTATGTATATGTATCTATATTTATATATATATATATATGTATTTATGTGGTTGGATTAATATCTGCATTTTGAGACTATAGCAATATTTATAGGTGAAGAAGAATTGTGGTTTGTATTCGTATGCTAGCTTTCATTTTTATTTTTATTTATTTTTACTATATATGTGTGTGTATTTTTTTATTAGCATTATTTTACACAACAATTGTATTGTGTTTTGTGTATGTGTACGTGGATTTGTTCTCGTTTATATATATTTTTATATATATATATATATAATTTTTTCAATATAAATAATTTTCAAATTATAAAATAATGGTAGGGTTGCATATGAATTAAGACAATTTGGGAGCAAAACATTTATAGATAAAAATTATAAAATAATGCCAGAGTCACGTATGAATTTAGACCCTTCCGCGGGCAGGGGCAGAGGGGTGGATGTACGTGGCGGCAAGGGGGCCTCCCCCTCCTCCACCTCACCCCTTTTAATATTTAATTTATATTTTATAATATATAAGGTATAAAAAATAATAAACAAATTAAAAATTGTTAAAAATGGATAGAATATTTATGAAAAATTAAAATTAAAATTTAAATTTTGAATAATAAAAAAATTTATATCACAATAATTATTTAACGCTATAAAAATAAATATGAACAAAGAATAAATAAATAATAATAATAATAATACAAAAAAATTTCAAAAAGTTTTCAAGCAAATAAATAGGAGATAATATTTTTAAAAACTATTTTAATATTTTTTTTATTATATATTAATTTCAAACAATATAAATACGTAGTTGTTACTATAGGTTGATATTTTGCATAATTTTCGAAATATGATAATTTTATTGATAAAATTATTGAATAACAAGTAAATTATAATAGTTTTGAAATTTAAAAAATAAGCCTTCATTTTCCTCCAGGTCTGGTTCCGCCTTGTGTTCAGGAGACAAAATATTTAAAAATACAAATTATAAAATAATGACGTAATCACATATAAATTTAATTAATTTTGGGGGCAAATGTACATAAATAATTAAATAAAATTAATATTTTAATACCAAAAACTAAAAAACAAAAATTGGGCTTGGACGGGGGCACGTTGCCCCAAGCTCTGTGGTTCTGTCAGTGATTGGGGGTTGGGTCTGGGAATTAAAATAGTACTCCCATTCACTACAAAAAATTAATATATTTGTAACGGAATTCCGTTCCTAAAGTTCACGTAGCTAACGTAATTTCATTCCTATTTTCGTCTCTAATGTCATTAGTAACGGAAAAAGTAGATTTAGAGACAAAAAAGTTTTGTTACAAAAATGATTTTTTCTTGTAGTGATTGTTCCATGCTTCCCCTCGCTAGCTACAATAAATAACTAAAAATATATTAGTAAAATAATTTTAGTATAATACAAATAATTATAGGTTACGATTAAAATAATTAATATATTTAATTAAAATTTAAAAATATAAATTAAAATTTTGAAAATATAATTAAAATATGTAATTATTTTTTTAAAAAAAATAACATATGATATGAGACATTAAAAAACGATAACTTGAACACAAAACGTATGACAAAATGAGTAAAATTTAAAATTATAAATAAGTGTTGATTTCATATTTTTTTTAATGTACAATTAATTTATAGTATAATATAAAAAATAAAATAGATATTTATTTTGATATTTTTATAAGGAAAATAAGAATGAATAAAAAAATTGAATTATAAATCCACAAATAAATAGAAGTTAAAAGGACATACTAATATGTGGGGATTTGCAATGTATCCCGAATATCTATATATATTTATTTACACATATATTGATAATAATAATAAAAAAAATTAATTTAAATAGTTATTTAACGAAAATTTTAATGTGATATTTTGAATTTAAAATAAACTCATTATTGTTAAAAATAATATACAATAATAAATCAAATATGGTGTAAAAGACCGTTGTTGGAGAATACATTTTTTTTATTTTTTTTGTGTTGCTTGATTAGATATAAGAAATATGAATTCATATTTATAGGATCAAAGATACTTCTAGATGCATGTATGACCATTAATCTACATTATGTATAATTTATTAGATACATGTATGACTCTATATTCATGCATTGATTTATTAGATAGATATAAGACCATTTATACACTGATTAAAAATAACAAATCAATAATTTTACACTTATTTTTAATTTGCAAGTTTCAATTGCATTTTCAACTTTTTGAATTTTTTCAATATCATTGTCTTTGCAAGAAAATCAGCCAAATCATCTATGTAAGAAAAAAAAAAAAAAAAAAAATATTTATGGATACTTGTCCCTTACTGACAAGTTCCCGAATGAAGTAATGACAAAACTCTATGTGCTTCGAGAGAGCATGAAACACTGTATTTTTTGTTACTGCTATGGTAGATATGTTGTCACAGCAAATTTGTTGTTGCACTACAACAAAACATTCATATTTCCTATAAAATTAGCTATAGAAATTTTTAAAAATATATGTAGCTAATGAATTTGTTATAAAATTAGCCATGAAAATGCATTTAGTGGCTATAAGCAGTGTAGCTAATTTTGCCACATAAATTGTCATGACAATTTGCAATATAATTTTTCACAACTTATTTGACATACTATTTGTCATGACAATAAATTTGATATATATTTTGCCACATCTAAATAATAATTATCTTACAAAAAATTTCCACATAAATTGCTACGATTTATTTGAAATTTTTTTTGTCATGAATAATTAATATTTAAATAATTGAAATAAAATATTTAAATAATTAAAATAAAATATTTTAATTTTTCATGTGCATAGAAATACAAATTTGATGCAAAATTTAAATTTTTGAATTCAATATTATAAATATTAGCAATAAAAAAATATTAATATAACATTATATTTTCTAAACACTAACAAACTTAATATTTTAAAATACATATAGTAACATCAAATACAATATTTAATTAGATACTAATAAATGCACATGGAACTAAATTTTACAAATTTTGGATTCTTAAAGTTTTGAGATATATGCTGCTTTTAGGGTTACATGTGCTTCATTCGTCTTCGATGTCAACATTCTTTTTCTTTTTGGTGTCCAATAGCTCATTTTTTTTCTTCTTGGCCTCCCATAGCTTTTCAGTTTTCTAAGTCCTAAAAAATAATAATGAAAAAAATTAAAAAATAAATCATTAGTGACATACCATTTAATGACAAAAAGAACTAATAATATAAATAGAAAAAATATTAGTAATTTGAATGCAAAACAAAATGATGAAAGGGTGTGTTTGTTTGGGGGATTTAATAAGATTTCTACTATTCATCCAATTTTTTCCCCCCAAAAATATCAAATCAAACACCTATTTTTCATTTTTTATATTATACTAAAAATCAATTTTATATTTAAAACATCACATCAACACCTATTTATATCACATCATACAAGTATTTAAATTCAGAATTTTTACTATTCAAATCCCAACTCAAAATCCAAACCCCCAAACAAACACACCCAAAGTAAATTAACAAATTTTTTTTAAAAAAAAAAAACATATGAATTTTTATTTTTCTAAACCGAAAAAAAGGAAAAATTGTAACTAAAAAAAAAAAAACTTAATATGAGTATTAAAAATAGAAAAAAGAGCAAGAAAAATAAAAAAAATTACAAAATATTAGTTAAAAAATATTATAAAAAGAAAAAAAAACCAACGATTCAATATACATGATGATTCGATGAAAACTCAAAAACATATAATATATAAAACTAAAATTGTTCAATGGATGAGTATTCCTTCAAATATAATAAACTAAATATTATTATATCAACAAAATAAAAATTAATAAATATTTAATTAATTTATAGCAACATCGAAATTATACCATAAAAAGAATATAAATGTTTAGATTTTACTTTTAGAAGATAAATGAAAAATAGATAGAAAGAAATAAGAGAGAAAGAAGAAAAAAAATTATATCCATTGTGATAATTCGTGTAAACTTGATAGAAGTTTTTACTATATATAATATTTATCTGTTTTTATTTTATTATATTAATTAAATAAATAAACTTTTGACAATTTAAAATTTATTCTTAATAATATAAGTATATTATATAAATATTATAATTTAATATATTATACATTTTTAATTTATTATATAATAAGTATATTAATTATAATAGTATAATAGATACAAATAGATATTTGACTATTTCAATCATATTATTTTTAGTTTTTTACAAATAATTTATCCATAATTTATACTTTAATAAATTGTAAAAATATTAGTTTATTTTCAAATAAGTTATAATAAGAAATAAATAAATTTTACAAATAATTTATCCATAAGTATTATACATTAATAAATGGTAGAAATATTATTTTATTTTAAAATAAGATTTAAGAAGTGTAGATAAATTCTATGTATGTTACAGTAAAAATTATTATGATTTTGAATGGTTAGTTAAGATAATTTATTATACAATATTTTGCCACAATATTTGATATGAAAATCATTAATTTTTTATTTGCTTATATATTTTTGAATGAATGTAACACAAATTTGCTATAAAAAATAACATGCAACTAATTTGTTTCAATATTATTCATGGAAAAAATTTATAACAAATTTTGCTTCGAAAATAGTTATGGATAAGCATATTTTTATTTTTTATTATATTTTTGTGGCAAATTATGTAACTGATTTGATATATAATTATTTTATAACAAAATTTTGTAACTATATCAATGTTTTCCAGTAATGTTGGCTCATTTTGAACTTATTGTATGTCAGTGAAAACTCTTTTTAGCCAAACTACTTCACATATTGCATCTGTGTATGCGATATATTCAGCTCCCGATGAAAATAGTGCCACGGAATTTTGCTTTCTAGAACTCTAAGAAATCACATTTGAACCAAGACAAATAACATAGTCAGATGTGCTTTTTCGATCGTCAAGTGATCTTGCCCAGTCACTATCGGTGTAGCCAATTAACTTGCATTCTTGTTCCTTTGTATACTAAAGTCCAACTCCTTTGGGGATTTGCAAGTATCACAAAATCATTTTGGCTGCAGTAAAATGAGTTTTACTAGGAGCTTGCATGAATCTTGAAAGAACACTTTAACGGATAAGCAATATTAAGTCTCGTGTGAAAAAGATAAATTAAAGATTTAACCAATTTTT